CAACCCACCACCTCAACCCAACGCTTCAACCTAAACTGTCCCATGTGCCTTTTTTCAGTTTCAACCCCTTCCTCATTCTTAGCCTATCACCTTGTTTCCAAATATACAACTTTGTAGGTTCCAACCATCGGTCACCATTGTCACCATCAAAGATCGTATAGCACCGCATAGCAGTGCAAGATGGAGAACTTCATCGTGAATATGCATAAAACGTTATCGAATGGGCGCCATTGGGTAGGAATACGCTGTGAACGTTTTCGAAAAGAGTGGATTCGGCTTAGACTTCCTTTTCGCTGGTTCCTATCAGAGCTTGACCATGTGGTTTCAAATGCTGCTTCAAAATGGCTGGAACCAGCAAAACCAAAGTCTAAGCCGAATCCACTCGTTTCCAAAACATTCGGTCCGTTAACGCAACAGGTGCAGGCACCGCGACAGGCACGCACACTTGGTATGCCTGCGCCTATGGATTAACGTTCACACTCGAATGGCGCCCATGGTGATAACACATTTTTGGCCGAGTTCACTATGTTGCGCTGCTACGCGGCGCTATACAATCTTTGGTCACCATTTTGGCAAACTGTAAAAATTCGTATTTATCACCGCAGTTTGAGAAAAGTACAGTTACCTGAAACTTTGACTTAAAAATTTGTCAGCTGGAGTCCTTACTCGGATTAGTTAGCCTTTATTTTATCACTTTTGCCACCACTGTTTGGAAGAATGGAACCCTCAGTGGTTAGAGGCTTGTATTTAGTGAACAGACGAGGCAGTAGGATTGTTAATTCCATCTACATCTCCATGTCCACAAACAGCAGCGTACAGCCACAGACATTTGCCCGCGACTGATGAAATCTTCCGTTTCTAACCTTTTCTTGTGCCTTCCTCCTCTTGATCTCCTCTTTAACCTTCCCCTCTGACACGTTTATGTCTTACAGTTTCCCCTTGTCCAATTTGCACCACAGCAGCAAATCCAGCACGACCGCATGATCCTGGCGCAGCAGCAGCAACAGCAGCAGCAGCAGCAGTTGGAGGCGCAGAAGCAGAAACAGCAGCACCTGAAACAGCTGCTGGCCAAGAAGGACAAGCCCAGTAAGTTCGCTTCCCCTTTTCAGTTGAGAAACGCGCGCAGTATCTGGCAAATGCCACTTAGGGCCGGGTTCCTCAGACCTGCCTAGGAGAAAATGTTACTTGGGGAATGTAGGCGCTTGGCCAAAATCGGCAGGGAGCCAGGCACAGGCCAGTGTATCTCACATGACATTTTAGCTCGTAACTGGTGCTAAGCATGCATGATCTGTGCTGAGCAAATTTTTTTCTGTGCCAAACAATTCCACAAATTGGCACGTAGTTTTTTTGTTTTTTGTTTAATGCAAATTCCATTCAGCACCTTAAAACCCTGGTGCTGTTATTTTCGCACCAATTAGTTTTTACCCCCGCTTGTGTAACGAGCGAAGATTGCCCTCAGTGTTTGGGTCAAGAGTTATACCTTAGTCCGTCCTGTGCTTTGCCACAAAGCACTGGTCAAATATATGTATTTCTATCTAACATGCTAATGCCGTGCCGTCAAACCAGAAATTGTGTTGCACGATGAGATACTGTGTTGACATGGATTCATTTGCAACAGAGCAAGAACATAGCGAGGATGTAAATTATCACCACGTGTAAGTGAAAAGTTGCTTCCGGCAATACACTTTGAAGAAAAGGTCAGAGCCAGATGCTTTGTTTCCGTAGTCTTTTGTGTATTTGGAGTGGGTTTAGTTTCACCTCAGACATCTTGATGTGTCACAGACGGTATGCCTTAGTTCAGAGTTTTTCCTACTTACAAGGAGCAAGGAGCTCGTTTTAGTCTTGCCTCATTCCTTGGGGGTTGTTTTTGCTCCTTACAGCCGTAACTATTTCACTTCTCTTGAATGTCAAACTAACCTTGGCTCCAATTTCGGCATTGATTTTTGCCGCTCGCGGCTCATCTTATTCCACCCACGTAAAACTGATTGGCTCTAAGTGCTCAGAGCGAGTAAAATCATGTACTCCCTTCTCCATTTACCTAAATCAGACCGTCTTCCATCAGCGTTGTCCTTTAGTCCTTTGAGACCCATTTCTTCTTTTTTCCCGTTCCTTTTTTTAATTCCATCCTGCTTGTGCGTATATTTAGATCCCTTCCGTATATCTGACGCCCTCATTATGTTTTCCCCTCGGCAAAGTTGGATGCTATCATCAGCAGTTTTATTTTTGGGACCTTTTTTTTTTCTTGTTAATCCCGTCTTTTTTTTTCTCTCTCAGTGGAATAAGGTTTATATTCTGCCAGCCGCAGCCTTGCACTAATCACAGGAAAGCTGTAATTACCCCCGACTGGTGGCTAAGTTTAGAGCTGATTATTGTGAATGAAAGAAAGAAAAAGAATCTTTGATTAGTTTCTGAAACTTGCTGCTGGTCAGCTTCCGTTTAGGGAAGTAGGAGGTTAGATGTTTTTCCAACAATTGTCCGCCTGCAGAAAAACAGCTCTTTTTTTTTTCTTGCAGGTCATACGTGATTGCTCTTATGAAATAAGTTCAGAGAAAAGTAGCTTTATTTGTGTCGATGCAGGTGGTTTTTTTTCCTTCTTGGTCGGAAATATTAAAAAGACCTCTGCGAATGGCTCTTTACTTCAGGAATAGCTTTGTAGTGTTGTTAAGCCTGAAGTATTGTAATTGGGTGCATGGAACATTTACACATCAATGGAACATGTTCTCTTGCACGGCAGAGAAGATGTCATTGCTTAATTTGACCCGTGTACAGGTATGTAGCTGCTTGCCCAACATGTTTACCAATTCAGACAAGAGGTTCTTCGCAAAGAAGATCTACATATCATTATTCTCTGAATACGAATTGTGACATTCAAGCGCGAGTTGTTGACTCAACGGGCAATAGGCTTTCTGGAAGGGTAGGGTTGTATTTTGAAAAGGTGACTTAATTCCGCCCTGCTCATCGTTCCTTGACGCATCTTAGTCGGAACAATTTTTTGAGCAGGTTTAAGTCACTATTTCTATTGTGGGTAAATTGTTCCAATTTCTCTCCGCCGCTCTGTGGAATGATGCGTTCTTACTGAGCTTGCGGACTTCTCAAAAATGTACAATCCGGTTTTGCATGGTGTTACTGTTGACTGCAACCCCGCAACCTCACAAGGGACTTGATATCAAGAAATAATTGAATTACTGGTGTCAAATTCTGGCAGTATCCACTTTCAGGAAGATCATTTTTCTTACAGCCCTAACAGTCCCAAATCCTCCAATTTCAATGTGAATTTTACATACACCCGAGGGGGTTGGTGTTAATAACCTCCCCCGAATCAGTACACAGTGTCTAACATCAGTGTTGTTCTTATGAGCTGATTGTAGTGGGCTATAAATAAAGGAATCGTCGGGTCACGTGTCAGTTGTCCTCCAGATAATATAACAGCAAAAAGTCTCCCCCAAAAGTTGTATTACATGGCTAGAACATGTTTGAGTCTTATCAAAGCTTGCTCGTTTTCAGGCAGCAATCTTCAGGTTATTTTCGAGTTAAGTACCATAGTGTCAACTTCTTTAAACTGTTTTTTATGAATCTCATCTCCGAAGGTGCAAACCCTTCCGAGGAGGTGAAGGAGAAGCTGCACAAGTTCCTATTGGACCGCAAGCAGCGCAGCGAGCTGGCGGCCAGCGGGGGGGCCAGCCACAACCACTCCCCGCCCCAGGCCTACCGCCAGTGGTCCATGGCCAACCGCAGCCCCCACGGCTCCGTGGACCACCACTCCCCGCCCCACAACATCTCCGCCCACTACCAGCCCATGTTTGGCCAGTACGACAGTAACTTCCCGCTACGAAAGACTGGTGAGTTGGCCCGAGTATTGCCCCACCCCACACGCTCCTGCATCTGCGCCCTCGCCGTCTCTGTTGACAAACAGAGTGAGACGGAGAAGAATTTTGTCGCAGTCGGATTTCTCGGCAAAGTGAAGTTGTCTCATGGAGCAGAAACAACATTGTCTGTATTTTTTTGGGGGGGGGTCGCCGCTCGGGAAATGGCCCATTCTCTCCAGCACTGAGGGTTTTGGGATTTTCAAGGAGACTTTTTGGCAATAGAAATTGAGCGAGAGAGAGAAAAAAAGAAGAAGCAGGTGCCATCTCTTGTGGTCACATGGAGTATCCCGACACTTGTCGCAACCACACTGCTGCTACTTTCCAATGCATCCTATCCAGAATACTTACTTCCCCCCCCCCAATTCTTTTTAATCCATTTTATCAGGATCCGAATGTAATTGCAGTTTTTTCATCTACATAAGTGCTGCTTCATACAAGTCAGTTCCTCCCTATTCATTGCTGAAGAGGTGGAGGGTCTATTTTTAGAAACATGGGCGCCAGACGGGTCAACAATCGGTCATGGTGACTGCACCCACCCATTTTTCCATTGGACTTTGAACAGTGCTGTAAGCGTTGACTACCAGAGCGATACCATAGAATTTTTTTTGGCAAGTGCCAGAACAGCAATTAGTTACGCAGTAACTAGTTGTAACTAATGTGGCGATTGCAGAATTTTAAGTTCAGTGGAGGTAGGTGAATGGTGTTTCGGTCTCGCCCGACTGAGCTGTAGGTGCGCAGGGCTGTCATGAACTATTTGAAGGCAAGTGTGCCTACGGGCGTTGACCCAAAGAATCCAGGATGTTACTCTTGATGTCGGTGACATCATTTGTGGCGCGTAACCTTTTAAATCAAATACAGAGAGTGGTTTGGCAGTCACAGCCTTACCGCCTGAAAAGCAGAAATGGAAATTCTGATACTCTCCAGTTCAGAGTTTGCGGTTGAGCGGCCCGAAAAAACCCAATACGTTATCAACCCATGTTAACAATGGGAGCTTTAGGAAGGAAATGTGACGTTAACAAATTGGAGTGCCTTTCAGTTGTTCAGTGACGCTGTAGAATCGGTACACTTGGGCAAAGGCTTTGTTAACAAGAAAGGGAGGTTTTTGTACCGAGCAGTAAATCTCTCCCCCAGGGTGACAAACTGCCTTTGCTGTGTGTGTGCTCATTTGTTCACATTTGGCACGGACTACACAATAGTAACAGCAAGTGGCATTTATTACCACCCCAACCCCTCTCTGCCCATTTCCCGGGGGGAGGGGGGAGAAGGGGACATCTGTGCAGGGAATGTTTTGCTAAACAAGATCCAGTAAACAGACTAGTTCCTGTTCCCTCCATTACATGCGTATTCTGGGTTTTAGAAGGAACGAAATGGGAACAAGTCCATCTCGGAGAGAGTTTGTACATATGCTTCGCTTGGTTCACGTGCACTGTTATTGCACATGAAGAGTCATTGCACGAACTACCGGTAGTTATCTGGAAAGTGGCTTTCCTTGTCCTTTTCTGCGTCATTGCTCTTCTTCAAGATTCAGCTTCATCTCAGGTTCTGTTTACCGTTGGAACCAAGTGGAAATTTCTCTGAAGCTTGACCTCATGCTAGACATCTGAAATTTTTTTGCGCAAGAAAATGGAGCGGCCGCAGAGGTTAAACTCTAGAGACTAAACGTATCAAATTTAGGCCTCATGATATGAGAAAAAAAGCCAGCTTTGGGGGGAAAACCCTGTTGACAGCAGCTTTCCCTGGTTTTATCCATGGAGCCGCTGACCAGTCACCAAAGTAAAAATTGGACGTGTTTTTTCCATCTCCGTCTTCCTGTTTGTGCCTAGCCTCGGACTCCAACCTGAAGGTGCGCTCTCGCCTGAAGGAGAAAGTGACAGAGAGGCGGAGTCACGGCAGCCCCCTCCCACGAAGACGAGACGGGCCCGGAAGCCTCAAGAGGAAGCCATTAACAGGTCCGCTGCGGGTTTGTTGTCGAGGGAAAAAATGAGAAAAATGAAGAGCTCTTTCTATGGAACAGTCTTGAAGCTGTGCAGAGATTAGCAATGTAGTAAAGTAAATGTTTATTACCTACACTTTAAAAGAGGCAAACTATTTTGACGAAAGCCTTTAGCGGTAGTCACATTGAAGAAAATTCTTTTTTCTTTGGTAGGAGTCCAAATTTGGAAAATAATGACCATGGCTCTGTGCTGTTAACAGTGAATAAGAAATTAAAGAAACCAGAGCCATTGACCAAAATGCTTTTTATGGCTTAATGACCAAGCTGGTTCTTCACTGTCTCGAAAGAGCAAGTTTGTGTCTTGTCTTCAGGGAACCATACCAATGTGGCCACTAAATTTCCCCTTGTGCCCACAGTGGACACCTCACCCTCAAGTAGTACTCCCGGATCGGGTCCCAGCTCTCCCCTCAGTGCAGGAGATGGAGCTAACGGATTGGCTGCGGCTGCCATGCCGGAGGTAAGGTCCCTCAAAGTCGTAACATTTTGGCCATCAGTCTATTCTCACCACTGTCGCAAGTTACAATTGGGAAAACCCTGGATGGAAAAGCAGGACGTAGGTACTAGGAACATATTGAGTGTAGTTAAACTAAATTTTTACCTTTTTTTGGCCCTGTTTCAATAGTCTGTGCTTACCTTCAAAGCTGTTTTCTCTTCAATGTTGTGTCCGCTATTGCCACTACTGAGAAGGCAGCAGTTCGCATGCACCATTAATTCAGTCGTCGTTGTAGAGATCATGCAAAATTGGAAAATTAATAATAATAATAATAATACAGAACACTTAGAATGCGTCGGTATCCGCCAAAAACTGACGCTCATGATGCAGTACAAAGAACAAAATAATAATTCAGGAAAATATAAATCAACAATATGCATACTGAAAGTGTTGGGGATTGAGAGCCACTTTAAAATCGGTAACGGCTGAAAGGGCAGGAATGTCAATGGGAAGCTCATTCCAAAGTTGTGGACCTGTGTGGGAAAAAGATCGATCCCCCCAAGAAGGATGTGTTTTGGGAACAACAAGCAGTGAAGAGTCGGAGGATCTTCGTCGCCTGGAGGGTTGGTGGGGAGACACCAAATCAATCTTATTCTCAGAAATACCAGACCGTGTAAGATAAAAGGGTTTCTGTGAAAGGGAGACGGGACATCTGACCTAACCTAACCTAACCTTACCTGAAAAGGCTGCGATTTTGGTCCAAGCAAACTTGATTGTCGACTCCTGTACTTTGTGGATAGTGATATTGAGTGACTCATTTGTGGGACAGCAGTGGCATGTTAGCGACTTGTTTGTTTGAGCCCGTCACATTTTGCACAAAAAATTCAAATTTTGCATTGAATCTGGTGCACGCATGATGCAGTATTGAGCACGTGACCTTTGATTGCATGCATGTCTCTCTGCATGGGGATAAAGGACTTGAACTCTGACCCATCGAGACTTTACTTTGCCCTTTTCTTGTTTAACCTGATGGCCTGGTTCATTGGGCCTCCCAGGCCCAATTGTTAAGTTGGAGTTTGTTGTTTCCAGTTTTGGGTGATAGCTTTTTTGGAACTGAGCCAAGCCTTCCCAGAAAGGCTTACTCGCATAAAAGTCCCTCAAGCATACATGGAAATATTGAAGGAAACGTGCGTGTGTACAAGTTGAAGGGAAAAACAATTTGTCATGTAGAGAAGGAAAAAACAACAAACAGGTGCACTGGTCCCCCCCCCCCACACAAAGGGATTCAAAATACAATTTCTGCTTTGGTTGTCAGCCAAATGTGTAATATGAGTCTTATTGAAGGTGACAGTTTTTTGGCCAATTTCCATGTCACAATATTATTGTCCTCCTCTCCGTTGGGGATTAGTTGGCCAAAGGGTCTACCACTGTCTCTGTTCTGTTTCAAAAAGATAACAGCATGTTTAGTTTTATAGCTCTACAAACGTTGTACCAATAGAAAGTATTCTTTTGACAGGCTATTTTACTGTCATTTTTTTGGTCTCTGCTGACACCTTTTCATTAATTTGTATCTTAAGTTTGTAGTGTGCAAGGCATTGGAAGCGGTCAATTTTCTTCTGGGAAAAATTGCCGGAAGAAAATGAGCTGCATGGTATAAAAAATGGTCACGGAGCTCTGGAAAAAAATCGTGTAGCTATCTGGTAGACCAGATTGGGCATTCCCTGCTAGGCTCACCGGCTACTGCGCATCCTGTGATATGTACAACACATAATTTGCTGGTTTCCTCATTAGACCGGCTTCCTGTAAGAGCACCGACTTACTAGGGCCTCATAGAGCTGCCGAGATTGGTCACAGCATGTCACAGGACCTCCTCTGGGAGTGGAAGAGGGGGGATTTATGAGGAATGTGGATGGTATCGTGCTGATGGGCTGGAATCAATTGTCAGCCTGGCCTGAAATCTTAGAAGAATCGAAAACAAGGAGAGCATCTTGGTGTGGCTTTCACCTGCCTATCCCCTCCCCCCTTTGTTTTCCGAAGCGCGCGATGCACGCGGGTGGAATTGAGTCACTTGGACAGGCTTCCCCAGCATGAAGCTTCGTCATTATCTGTAAGATATGCTGAAGGATTTCACATTGTAGGGCTTCAAAAACAAGTCTTATGACCACACCCTGCGCTTGTAGACACACAGCGGCTGCACATGGACCTGTTGAGCAGTGATGCACAAACAACTGCTTTGCATTTCAGTTGTGGGCCCCCCAGGTGGGGTGTTGTTTTTTTTTGTTTTTTTTGCCGGGACATGTGAATGGAATGTGGTGCACTGTTTGTGAGCATCGTCAGATGTGTCTTGAGAATGGAAAAAAAATGGTTGATTGCACCTGGTCGGCATGCGTTGTACTTTGGATTGTTTGGAATCTATGTGTAAAAAGTAATGAGAGGAAATTAAAAAAAATAAAAATTTGTAGAAAATAAATGAAAGTGACCTTCCCAAACGGAGATGTTGTGTCTGAAGTGTGAAACAGGTTAAGTACATGTAGGTGCACTGGTGGGCCAGTTTTTTTTTTGAACGAAGTACATAGTACGTGCCCTAACTGTTCAAGCATGGATTTCTCAGAGTGCCATTTGGTTGGAAAAACAACTCAGCCTAGTGTTAGCTGAGGGGGGTTCTATTTTCATTTGTATCTTGGAACAAATACTGTGACTGCTTTATTTTTCTAGTTGGTAAAGGCAGGGCTAGGGTTCATAAAAGGAGGTTGCAGATTAAATTTTTCTGCTGTGTAAGTGTTTGTCACAAGGCCAAAATTGCGTGGGTTTTTTTGGCCGATTCATCTGGCTCTCGGCCTATTCTTGTGAGGTTGTTAAACATGGAACTATGCCTTAGATCATCATCATATGAGAACCAGTCATGAGTAATGTGCATTGTGCAATATTCTAGCCGGTAACCTGTCACAACGAGTACATGTAGCTATTTTCTGTATTAAGCAACTTAAGCCGTTTTCCAATACTCAACTTCGTCTCCATCTCAGGCTACGTGTAGGAAGCCAATCCCTGATTGTGGGTCTGAAGCATCTAACTTAAATTGACGTACTGTAATGTTTGGCTCTTTCGCATCTGACTTGATGTTCTGTGGCACTATCAGAGTTACTGTTGCGCTTACAACCTCAAAGTCAGGAAGTAAAAAACAGTTGAAGCCTGAGACGGAGCCCAAATTGAGTATTGGAAAACGGCCTCGGTCCCTAGTCCAAGTAAGATCTTGATGAGGATGAGGAACTGTTAAGCCAAAGCAAGTGAATATGTTGCTGAGCGGAACATCGCGTAATAAGCCATTGCTTGACATGTTCACAGCGTACAAACGTGCTTAGCTGTGTTTCCTGCTTAGCAGTCATATAAAAAATTTGGTCTGGGCGCAAACCGATTGCCCAGGTTTGAGATTTGCCAAGGACCTCAATGGGGGAGAGGTGTCCGTGAACGCATGGTCGTTGGAGGAGCCGCGCTTGTCTGACCGGTCTTTTTCCCCTCTCTCTCTGTTACCCCTTGCACCTCAGGACGTGAACAGCTACCTGTTGCTGAAGCGCATGTACAGTAGCAGCAGCAGCGATGTCAACCTCTACACCTCACCGTCCCTGCCCAACATCTCCCTGGGCCTGCCGCCGCCTGCTGGCTCCTCCCAGCACTCACCGCAGATGGTAGGTGTTGTCGTCGGGGGAACCCCCTGAATCACGGGTCTAACCCCAACCCTCCCCTCCCTTCCCCCCCCCCCCCCCTCTGCAAACTTTCTTTGTCCTGGATAGTCTAGGCTTAGCCTGGACCAGTGAGGCAAGTTTGGGCACGAACTATAGTTCGACCGGTAGTCAGTTGCTTTTTAACAATGCCCAGGTGCAAGTCAGTCACACTCGAACGACCCTCGTCGGCCTTTTTTAAAATCTCGTCTTTACTATCTTTACTCGCATTTCACTGTTCGCTGTGATTCTTGCAGTGCACGTGGTCATTAAAATGTCATACAATGTTTTATCATGTGAATGGTTCCCTCTGTAATGATTTATGAAATAGGCTATTGATAACCAGCAGTGCAGCCATGCCCTAGGGCCTTGTCCAAATTGGTCAACTAGATAGTCCCAGCCATCCATGGTTGGGGCGTTGTTAGTCAAACTATAGTCCTTCCTGGAACTTGCCCGTGATTGGAAGCCACCGCTTGGGCCAAATTTTAGTCCGGTTGACTCTACGAGTAAGTGATGGGTGCATGAGGTCACGGGTTAAGTATATTGGTCAAGTAGCAGTTGTGTTTTGGAATCCTTTAACCTTTATTTCTGACTTTGTACCGCTGTACTTTTGTTAACAAAACCCAACCAAGTCCTTCTGTGCTAGTCCATTGCTGTAATGCTTGGGCAAGTACTTAATGTTAGTGTGGACTAAATGGTTTTTCATGTTGAGTTGGTATTTTAAACAGTGTTCAACGGTCAGTTGATTTTGCTTCCCTTGCTGTACATTCTGAGCATCAATCTTTAACCTGATCTAGAGCAGTCACTCCCTTTGGTTCCATCTTTGGTCTTCATCCTCACCCGACTTCCCCCCTCCCCCCCTTCCCATTTGCCCCTTCATTCATAGTGACTGTCCTTCTGTCTCGTGTAGAAGAAAATCCTGCGTGCCCAGTGTCGGCGTTATAGGGTGCGGTCCTGCCGATCCCTTGGTGCCATGTCTCGATTCGAAGACATCAGTGAACAAGTACAAAACCTCCCGTTCTGGTGATATGCATGAGCCTACGGCTTGTCCGCCTTGTGGATCCCTTGGTATTCTTGCATGGTTAACACACCTCCCCCCCCCCGGAAAGCTTGTGGCATGTATCTTTTCAATCTGCATGGCATCTTGTATTGCATTTGAGTTTGAAGGTCATTGTAGTCTGTTACCCCGACTCCAAGAAGCCTGAGTTTTCAGCAGTATTGATGAGGTTTAAGTCCAGTAACCTTACATTATGGAAGTCTTCGGATCCAAGATTTGTCCCATTTGAAATATTCAGTGAGTGTCATTATCTGGATCAAAGCTGAGAATTAAATGCACGATTGGCATTCCACAACCAAATGAAGGTGCCCAGCCTCAGTTTTTGTCCAAGGTGCCAAGCAAAACCAGTCGGTTTCTGAAGCCTAGGGATTTGCTCTTGTCGGTAAATTCACCTCGCCCTGAAAGTGCCCAGGACCTGCAGTAATCCCCTGGACCAATCAGGAATCCTGACTGTGTGGGAAAGTCCCCCCTTAGTCTTAAGTGCGTTTTTCTCTCCCCTCCCCTTCTCGTTGCAGCAAACTGCGAGCAAGCCACCGATGAACGACGCGATGCGTATGAAGAACCCCCTACCCGGGGGACCGGTCATAGCCCCTGCCTTCATACCTGCTGCGCAGCCAGGTAGGCTTCTGTCGGGGGGGTGGATGGTGGTTAGAAAGGAGTTAGCCACAGCTCTGTAAGCTCTTGCAGAGTAATCATGACTGGAAATCGGAAGCAATCAAGGTTTACGGAGGATGCTGTTTTTCATTCACAGTCATGGACATTCCTCTTGAATATCTAACTGGTTCATGCTACAGTTTCATAGTACTGCGAAAGTAGGTTTATGTCAAAACAGAAGCCAAATCACCAGTCATATGTTAAGTCTTGTCACAAGAGGGTGGGAATGAACAATGATTTAAGAATATCAGTGGCGCATTTCACTTGAATAGGCTTGTGACTTTGCCATTGGATGAATTATGATGAATTTGTGATGGACTAGTCAGGGATTTAACTAAAGTACAGCAATTTCACTTCTGTGCTCATTCAGTTGCAAATCAGTAAGGGGTGCCGTTCCAGATTTTCTACTTTTTGACTCCAGAGTGTCTCCAACCACCACGTGGTTAAGTTTCATTATCTACTTAGAGGTTGTGGGTGTTATCTTGTTTGATTCTTACCTCCCGCCGTTCCTTCCCCCTCCCCCGAATCCCAGGAACCATCATGCCCGCCGGTGTGCCCCCACCCATGATGGGCGGCATGCCCCTCCACGAGGCCAACTCCATGAGCCTGTTGGGAGGCGGTGCCGTCGCACAGAGACTAATGAGGTTAGTTGACCTGCTCCACCCTCCCTTGCCACACCCGCTTCCTGCAACCCGTCCCTTACCCAACCCCTAACCCACCTTGACTTTTGTCTTGGCTCCGTCTCAAACAGCCAGCCCTATCCTGACCCCAACATTCCCCGACCCCTTTTCCCCCTTCTACCCTTTGCTTGCACCTGTCCCCCCCCCCCCC